TCAAAAAAAAAAAAAAAAAGATTAATATAAGGGCACATATGATTAGGTTACGTTGTTTGCATTTGTTGGGTAAAGTCCAAGTTGTGGTTGAGTCCTTTGCCTTGAAGGTGTACCATATGCCCCTACATTGTGCTTGTCAGATGAGAACTTACCAAGCCTTCTTTCTACTCCTCTTCCCCTCCCTCCGCCCTGCTTTCTTGAATTTAATTGTGTTTTCTCCTATGGGTGTATGGTTGTTCATCTACTAGTTTTATATTAGTATTGAGTACATTGGATACTTGCTTTTTCATTCTTGTGATACTTGACTTGGGAGGATGTTCTCCAAATCCTTCCAGGCAAACACAAAAATGTAAAGTCTCCATCTTTCTTTCTGGCTGGATAGCATTCCATGGTATACATGTACTGTAGTTTATTAATTCATTTGTAGGTTGATGGGCACTTGGGTTGCTTCCACATCTCGGTGATTGTGAACTGAACTGCGTTAAACATTTAAGTGCAAATGTCCTTATGGTAAAATTCTTTTTTGGAAAGAAGTATGGAGAATCCTCAAAGAGCTAAAAATAGACCTTCCATTTGATCCCATAAACCTATTACTAGGTATCTACCCAGAGGGGGAAAAGGATTTTACCATATGGCATTTTCAGGTTGTTTTTTTTTTTTTTTTTTTTTTTTTGAGACAGAGTCTCGCTATGTCACCCTCTGTAGAGTACTATGGTGTCACAGCTCACAGCAACCTCAAACTCTTGGACTTCAGAGATTCTCTTGCCTTAGCCTCCCAAGTGGCTGGGACTACAGGCACCTGCCACAACGCCTGGCTATTTTTTTGTTGCAGTTGTCATTGTTGCTGGCCCGGGCTGGGTTTGAACCCACCAACTTTAGTGTATGTGGCTGGCGCTGTAACCATTGTGCTACTGGCACCGAGCCGGTATGGCATCTTTTGATGGATTTTAATTGTATCACAGCAGAACTCCTGTCACACTGGATTGCTCTGCATGCTGTAGATCTCAGGGTATCAGCTTATACCTTGGGAAATAGATGTATTTCCTCCATTCTGTATGAAAAAAAAAAAAAAAAAACCTCTGAATTGATTAGATTTTGTCTGTCACATTTGCCTTAGCCTTTAATGTGTGCATGTGTGTGCACTCATGCACATGCCCAGAATTCACATGTATGCATCTATATTTATGGATAACTGTCAGGGAAGACTGGAAAGTGAGGCTAATTGGAGCTAAAGATGCACAAATATTATACACGGTTCAGCTAGTGGAGGCCTTAGGTTAATGTTATAGAAGTTGAAGATTTTGAAAAATTAGATGTGCTTTGTAAATAAATAAATAAACATGTAGGGTAAAAATTTATGAATTAAAAGATATAGACTTAGCTAAGAATTTCCGCTCTAGAGCTGTCAATTTATTCTAATTCAAAGGGGAAAATTATAGGAGAATTAGCCTTTTTTTTTTTTTTCCTTTTTTTTAAAAACAGACTCACTCTGTCACCCCTGGGTTGAGCACCATGGCATCATCATAGCTCACAGCAATCTCCAACTCTTGGGCTCAAGTGATCCTCCGGCCTCAATTTTTCTATTTTCAGTAGAGACAGGCTGTCACTCTTGCTCAGACTGGTCTCCAACTCCTGAGCTCAAGCAACCCACCCACCTGAGCCTCCCAGAATGCTAAGATTACCTGGCTCAGCCATTAGCCATGTTTAGTAGCAGTAACTGTTTAGTGCTTAGAACCAAGGCATGCACATGGGTTTACAGATCAATGTTTATACCTAAACTTGAAGGGGAAAAAGAAAGAACTTACTGTGAATTAAGAAATCTCATAGAATGTGTGCTAAGCAAATAATAATAGCAAATCACAATAGGAAAGGAGAAGAGATACCATTACACAAATTGCCAGGGACATGGAGAATGGCCTATAAATACTCATTCTTTCTTTACTATTATTTTTCCAACAACTATTTATTTTTATTTATTTATTTACTTTGATACAGAGTCTCACTCCTTCGCCTTGGGGTTGAGTGCTGTGGCATCACAGCTCACAGCAACCTCAAACTCTTGGGTTCAAGTGACTCTCTTGTCTCAGCCTCCCAAGTAGCTGGGACTCCAGGCGCCCACCACAACTCCCAGCTATTTTCAGAGACAGGGTCTCGCTCTTACTCAGGCTGGTCTCGAACTCCTGAGCTCTAGCAGTCCACCTGCCTTGGCCGCCCAGAGTGCTGGGATTACAGGTGTGAGCCACCGCACCTGACCCCAAGAACTATTTTTAATTGTGAAAAAGTAGGAAAGACCATCAGGGGAACATATTATTGGCACTATTAAAACTGTGGCTCTGTTATTCTCTCTATACACCACAAGGTTGAGAAGCCCTTCTCCAGAATCTCTGGGACCAGAAGTGGTGTGGATTTGGAATGTTTTTCATTCTGAGGATTGACCATAATCTTACTGGTGGAACCTCCCTAATTTGAAAATTTGACATAGGGAATGGGCTAGTGAGCATGACCTTTGAGTATCACGTTGATGGTGCTCAAACTAATCTTAGATTTTGGAGCATTTCAGATTTGGGATTTTTGGATTAGGGATGCTCAACCTGTAAGATAGTCCACCTTCCCAACAACCTTGCTGGATAGGCACTTTTATTAACTTTATTCAACAGAACAGGAAACTGAGGCGCAAAGCAGTTCAGTGTTGTCCAAGATGACACAGTGGGCAATCACCTGTATTTGAATGCTGTTATCTGGCAGTGGGGGCCTTGCTCTTAACCTCTAGAGGAGTGATTTTCAGTCGGTTTGGCATGGCACGCTGGTATGCCATGAGAGGATCTTAGGTGTGCTATGAAAATATTTAATGATCATTAATTAAATTATTTTCAAAAGAAGTTCAATACACAGTAAGTATATTCTTTTTTTAACTCTTTTTTTAATGAACATAATTTAAGTGTTCTGTAGAAGTTTAACTATAGGTCCAAGTATGCTGTGAGATAAAAAAAAGCCTGAAAATTATTACTTTAGATCATACCACCCCTCTGGTGGGTAATAGAACAGAAAGATGTTCCAAACCACTTAAGTGATGAAGAAGAATGGGCCTGGATAACCATTCTACCCAGTGTCAGTAAGTGTTAGTGAGATTGAGTGGTGATCCTAGTATGTCTTGACATGCCAGCCTTGTGATGGATCTGCCTTTGATAATTTGGGGGGGGGGGGGATAAAAAGAATTTGGCACTAAAGAAGCAGTGCCACAAATGGTATCTGAGAAAATGTTGCCAGAGCAACAGCTGCCACACCATGATGTCGTAACAGAATCATAAGTCATATTTTTGGAAAACTTATATTTTTGTATGCGTGAGTGTGTGTTGAATGAAATACTGGAGGCCTGTGAGCAAAGAACGTGATAGGATTGAAACAATCAGTATAAAAACATTTCTTGTCCTCAGAGGAATTCCACAAACTCTTAGATATGTGTAAGGGAAATCAGCGTGTGTTCAGTGGTCAGATACAATAGTTCCCTAAATCTGGATCTGATAAAAAAAAAAAAAAACCAGTAGTGAAAAAATGAACAGAAAAAAGAATGTAATATCTAAGCGAGAAGATGCTCCTCAAGGGACCAGATGAAGGTGCTGGCCTGCAGGTGTTTGCCAGAGGACTGCTGTTTTGAATTGTGACTTAGAGGCTCATGGAAGTACATCTCAGGAGATTTGGACCATTGCACAATGGGATGTTTTGAGGTGGGGGGAATCAGTGATCAGAGAGACTAAACTAAGGGTTGCCGGTTTACTTGCAAATTTGACTTAGGGTTGACATTAATCACAAAGGATGCAAAAAAGAGAAAAATAATCCTAAGTGGGGATCATTCGTAACACATGGCTTTTGATCCATGTTTAATTGAGTGCCACCAACCTCGGCATTAGTTTTCACTTTAATTAGTGTTGTGGAAGAGCAAGTGCATATATCTTGAGAACAGTGCTATATAAAGAAGAGCTCTGCAAAAAATCAAAGGAAGATCCTACTGGAAAACGTGTTAAGGAGTGCCTGGGAGTAGGTGGGACAGTAAGGATAAGCAAGAATTGAAGTATAGCTATGCAGTGGCAGGAGACACCCAGCTCTCCTGGTGATCAGCAAAACCTGGAGGAAATCATCACCCAGTTAGACAGAAATTTTGGAGATTGAGACATCTAAAAAAAGCCCAGTGTGATTGAGTTTAGTACATAGATACAGAATTCATATTGCAAATGTTAAATTGCCCTTCTGTCCTTTCTTACCAAGCTTACTTCTTTGCTGTTTATTCATTCCTCTTGTAGGTGTGTTCTTGGATTAATGCAAGAACAATTAACCAAATTGTTATTCCTTATGGACCTACATTCTGAGCTGGGCATTGGGCATTATGTAAAAAAGTAAAAAACCCAGTACCTGCCATGTTTTAGACCGTGCTGTGTTGCTATCGAGGAATAGCAACTCAGTTTCTTCCTGAGACTGGGTATTTGGAAAATTTATGAGGAAAAATGTTTATTTGACTGATGTGTCTGGTAGTTGTGAAGTTCAAGATTGGACACCTGCATCTGGTGAGGGCCTTAGACTGCTTCCATTCATGGAGGTTAGTGAAGGGGAATAATGTTAGTGTGCAGAGATAATGTGGTGAGAGAAGAAGCCAGGGTGGGCTGCCAGGGTCTTTATCATCTCTTGAGGGAACTAGTAGAGTGAGAATTCACCTCACCTCCCAAGGAAGGACAGTAATCTATTCTTGAGAGATCTGCCTCCATGGCCCAAGCACCTCCTATTAGACACCACCTCCAACACTGGGGATCAAATTTCAACATGAAGTTTGGAGGGACAACCACCCAAACCAAAGCATGCCCTGCCAAGAACATGTCTTTTTTGTAGAAAGAATATGAGCTTATGGATCTGATAAAATTGAGTCACTTGAGGCCAGGAGTTCAGGTATAGCTTCAGTGAGACCCAGTCTCTCTAAAAATAAAATAGAAAAATCAGGTCAGTGTGGTGGTGCATAACTGAAGTCCCAGCTACTCAGAGAATGAAGCAGGAGTAACACTTGAACCTGGGAGTTTGAGGTTGATGTGAGCTACGATGACGCCACTTGAGGCTGGGTTGGGTGGCTCACACTTGTAATCCTAGCACTCTAGGAAGCTGAGGTAGAAGAATCCTTTGAGATCAGGAGTTTGAGATTAGCCTGAGCAAGAGTAAGATCCCATCTCTACGAAAACTAGAAAAATGACTCAGGTGTGGTGGCAAATACCACCATCAGGAAGCTGAGGCAGGAGGATGGCTTGAAGCCTGGAATTTGAAGTTGCTGTGAGCTTAGGCTGATTTCATAGCACTCTAGCCTGGGGCAACAGAGTAAGACTTTGTCTTGAAATAAATATGTAAATAAAAACTTTGTTTGTTTTTTGAGATAGAGTCTCACTATGTCACCCGTGGTAGAGTTGCTGTGGCATCACAGCTCACAGCAACCTCAAACTCTTGGGCTTAAGTGATTGTCTTGCCTCAGCCTCCCAAATAGCTGGGACTACAGGTTCCCGTCACAATGCCTGGCTATTTTTTGGTTGTAGTTGTCATTGTTGTTTGGCAGGCTGGGGCTGGATTTGAACCTGCCAGCTCCCGTGTATGTGGCTGGTACGGTACCCGCTGAGCCAGGGTTTTTTTTGTTTTTTTTTGAACAGTCAAATATACAATCAGTGTTTATAAATGTTCCATAGATAAGTGTGGGCAGTTATCCTATACACACAGATACAGACATTTATATATCAGGTTTGTTGATCATATCATTCATTTCTCTTCTGTTCTTAGTATTTAGAGTTAGGAAGTTCTGAAGAAAATGTAATAAAGTCTGCCTTATAATTATATTTTTATCTTGTTCACCTTGTATTCTCAAGGATTTTGCTAATTTTTTGGTTGCTTTGTTAAAAGCAAATTTAGAATGATTATACCATCTCCTTAAATGTCTTTGACATTACCCAATGACCTCTTTATCCTAAAAAGTACCTTCCATAGAGTGCCATGGATCATAGCTCACCGAAACCTTGAATTCTTGGGTTCAAGCCATCCTCTTGCCTCAGCTTCCTGAGTAGCTGGGACTACAGGCACCCGCCACAACACCCGGTTAGTCAGGGTCTCGCTCTTGCTATGGCTGGTCTCAAACTCCTGAGCTCAAATGATGCATCTACCTTGGCCTCCCTGACACTTTTCTTAGTAATGTCACTCTTTTTTTTTTTTTTTTTTTTTTTTGAGACGGAGCCTCAAGCTGTCCCCCTGAGTAGAGTGCCATGGCATCACGCTCACAGCAACCTCCAACTCCTGGGCTCAAGCAAGTCTCCTGCCTCAGCCTCCCAAGTAGCTGGGACTACAGGCGCCCACCACAACGCCTGGCCATTTTTTGGTTGCAACCATCATTGTTGTTTGGCGGGCCCGGGCTGGGGATTCGAACCCGCCACCTTAGGTGTATGTGGCTGGCGCCTTAGCCGCTTGAGCCACAGGCACCGAGCCAGTAATGTCACTCTTTTATGTCTTACTATTTATTTCTAACTTTTCTATATTAATACAGTTGAGTATCCCTTCTTTGAAAATTTGAAATCCAAAATGCTCCAAAATCTGAAACTTTTTAAGTGCTGTCATTGAAGTATTTAGGATTTTTGGATTAAGGATGTTTGACTGGCTAGGCATATAATTTAAATATACCAAAATCTGAAAACAAAAACAAAAATAAAACTTGAAATGGAAAATACTTCTGGTCCCAAGCGTTTAGGATAAGAGATATTCAAGCTATAATGAGTGTGTTTATTAGAAACTACCTATAATTTGGTTTAGCTTTTTGTTAGCTCAGTTTGTTAGTCTGTCTTTTAATGGGAGAATTCAATCCATTAACAATTAGTATAGCAACTAATGGACTTCTTGTTAATTTGATGGCAAATACTATATGTCCACATTTATTTAGTTAATACAGTTCATGTTAGGTAAATGTTATACAGTTGCTTAAGTTTAAGTTGACATGCTGTATCTGAAATGACCGTAGTGGTTCCAAGTGAAAATGACATTTAGATAATTCATAGTAGAATAGGGCCGGACCCGACATTAGAAAACAAGACAAGTAGATACATGTTGGAGTTATCAGCTGTATTATTCAGTGCTCTCCAGGAAAACAGAACCACTAGCAGAATTCCTTTTTCTTCAGGGGACCTCAGTCTTTACTCTTGAGGCCTTCAATTGATCGAATGAGGTCCACCCACATTGTGCTGAACAGTCTGCTTTACTCAAAGTCGACTGATTTAAATGTTAATCTAACAAATACTTTTCACAGCAACATCTAGACTGCTGTTAGACCCAACAGTTGGGCCCTGTAACCTAGTCAAGTTGTCACATGAAATTAACCATCACACTCAGTTCACAAAACGTGATCGGATGATTTCTAAAACTAGGAACAACTGTAATCCAAAACTGAGCCAAAGATCAAGGATTTAGCATTAGGGAATTAACCATAGTTGCGTTCCATTGTTCCATCTAAACATCCAAGGACCCTTATTCTTTTAGTGATACTTATGGTGTGATCTTGACTTAGAAAATTTATACTTGTTTAGAGGGAGGTGGTGCTTTTTTTTGGTTTTGTTTTTTTCTCTGCAATGTTTGGTAATTTTTCTTTAGACCAGGAGTTCAGGTTGCAGATAGCTCTTGAGAGCTGCTGTTTCATTAGCTTTATCTGCACCCAGAGATCTGTTTGCCCTGTGCTTTGGAGGGCTGAGCCCTGAGTGGTAATGCATTAACCCTGCTCTGTGCAGTGCTTACAGGTCTACAGACAGCCTGCAGCTAAATAACTTGTGGCTTCTCTGCTGCTGTGGCTGTACTTGTGTAATATCCCTGCCTGTCCCAGCCCCAAGAACCATCTGCTGACTTGGTGTCTCTGGGAGGATCTGCAGAAGGGCTGCCTTTACCCTTTGCAATCCAATATGTTCGGTGCATTCAGTTCAGCTACCAAAATAAATCCTTTCAGCATGGTTTAATTTAGTTAGGATTTTGGTATCCTTGATCATAAGCAATTTTATTAAACTAGGGGTAAGAATGCTTGGTGCTTAACAGATGTTTTGGGTTCAAATCTTGAGTCTGCTTGAGTTCAAATTGAAACTCCAATACTCATTGGCCATGTAAATGCACTGAAATTACTCAATGTCTCCGAGATTCACTTTCTCCAATTGTAAAATAGGATGACATCACACTCTCTTACATCTCAAAGATACTATAAGGCTTAAATGAGATAAGGATCAATTATTTTACTAAGAGCGGTTATATTTCTCTTCTAAGAAGTATTCCTTTCCTATCTGACAACTTTTAACTCCTGTTTCTAAAGACACAAAAATTCACGTTATAAGTAATTACATCTATCCTCTTTCACCGTTATTTGTATTTTTATATTTTCATAGTTTTTTTTTTCCAGTAAGCAGTTTTCTACTTCTATTGTAAAATAGGTTTGTCGAAATGAATTCATGAGGAGGGATTATTTGCCCTTCAAGTCAATTGTGGGTCCCTGGAATATTGCTAAATTTAGAAATAAAATAGCTCATCTCCCTACACTTATTGAGCTCCGACTTGATCTACGTGGTGCTAAGTTGGTCTCACGCAAAGTGATTCCTATTGATGATGGTGGGAAAAACCATTACAGGACTGGTCACCTCTAATCAAGTTGTGGCATTTCTGCCCAGTCCTCATGTGTTGCCCTTATTGCTGAGATTGTTCTTGCCAGAACTTCCCCACATCTAAGTTGTTCAAGATCCTCTCATCATCATAATGATGTCATTGTTGGTTACAAATTCATATGTCAGCGTTCACCTCCCCGCCAGCCTGTTGATGAATGGGTTAATCACTTTCGCATCTGAATTATTTCTATGACTATTTCCATTTGCCTGTGACATTCTGACTCTTCTCACTCTCTTTTCTGGGCTTGAATTCAGCAAGCAAAAGCGGAGGTACTGTAATTTTCTAAATAACCCAAAGGAAAGATTTGGCATAATTTATAATCACTCTGACTACTGAATCAACTTGCACACACTCTTCCCTCTAATGGAACTTTGAGGAATAACTGTAATGGAATAGTACGTCCACCCCCCATCTTCAGATTTCACTGCATAAAGCCTGGATCTGGTTCTGTCTTGTTTTTGTTTGCTTCACGTTGTGTTTGTGCCCCATTGGGTAAAGTACAAGCTTAGGCTTCATCTGGATGGATTTTCATCTCACAGATGCAGTCATTGAATCTCTGACAATAGTCTTGCCTCCGAGGAGTGTTCCAGCTCTGGCTGCTATATTAAACCAGGGTAGTACTTGGTTCCTTCAAAGGTAATGTCCCATCTGTTGACTGTGAACTATGGCAATGCAAATTCTCAGAATCTTCAGAGGAGGTGATCCAAAGCATTTACAATTCCCCTCTGTGGAAAGAGTCATTCCGAGTTTGTTTATTTGTTTTAAACCTATGATGGCTCTCTTCTGCAAATACCAGGGTGAAATCAGCAAGGTACAGAGGTTAATATTTGCTCTCTAACCTTCAAAGACAGACACTGCTGAGTCTGCTGTAGTTTACAGCAGGATCCGTGCAAGTTAAAGCAGGCTGCTTTATAGCTATGGCTGTTTCCAACCCTCTGCAGTGTTGTGGGGCTGCCCCAGAGTGCTTCTCTGCTCATTCTGTGTATGCAACTTCATTCTGTTCCCTGCTCAGTCCCACTGAAGAACTGCACTTTGGCATATGACAGCCACTTTGATAACTTCATGCTAAACTCCCCTGGGTTTGGACTCAGGCCCATTCAAACCTTTCTGGTGCCTCTGCAGGTCAGCAGTCCTAGACTTGGGGAGTACAAGGTCTGTCTGCAGTGAATTTAGGGGTAAGGAGAAAGACGGCTGACCCCAGCATTATCAAGGAATAATAACAAATAAATTTGTCTGGGAACAAATTTAGCAGAAATTTGCCCAAAGCTTTCTGCAAACAGTAGGAATTCCACAAAATTTGAGATAGTGAAAGGTGAATAAATAATGAATGAAAGAAGGCTTGAAAACCTGAGAGCCTATTGACTATTCCTCAAAAGCCTAACGTAACTTCAGTGTTCTAGTGATTTCTGTGAACTAGGATAGACACGCAAAAGAGGTGCATGTGTTAGGAAAGAGTTAAAAAATTCTCCTTACCTTCTCCTACCATCTGCAACCGCAGAGACCAAGGGAAAATGCACACACACACACACACACACATACATACTCGGGCAGGGAACCTGTTTTGCAAGTTTTGCTGGTAAAAAGTAGGAAGGGGGTTGGTGGAGAACTGAGTGGAAAAGCCTTAGAAGTATCAATTGAAGGTTTTTCTGAGATCTGAGTTCTCAACGTAACTTTATCCTGCAGAGAGAGGCATGCATGGCCACTGTAGGTTTTTCTTCCACCAATTAAGTGCATTGTTAGACAGGGAGAGGCAGATTACCGAATGCCTATAATTTTGATCATTGTTTTTTGCAAAACAGCTCAGGCTTTGAAAATGAAGCCATCGTTCTTGGCTAAGTTTCTGCCAGCAGCACAAATTACATCGTGCAGAGATCTAAAGCCCCTGAAAGGGTTTCATTAATGAACAATTTCAGACGATTGTTTAAGTCTTCGCCTAACAGGTAACGTTGGCATGTAGGCAGGTGGGGTTAGGGTTTCCATGGAGATTGATGATGTCATGCTTGAAAGAGCATGTCAAGACAGCCGATTTAACAAGTAGCTACTCAAAAGTCCTATAGGCTACAAGTAGGATTTATGCAAATTACAGGAGTTTCACTGGGAAAAACTGCAAAAGAAAACAGCAGAGACATGGAGGGGGGTTTACCTGACAGCTCGGAAGGATGACCCTGGACTCCATTAGAGAAGAAAACTTCCAGAAGAGGAGTTAGATTTTCTGCTTTCCCTGCTTCACCTGTGGAGCACTGGGTACAGGTAAATATGCATTTTGTTTTGTTTTTCCTGAGTTATTGCCAAAAATTATTTGGAAACATTGCGGTCTGTTTCTCTGCATTGTTCTCTTGGCAGGAAGAGCTGAATCAATAAGTGGAGCTTTCCCACACAAATGTTCGTGCTTCGGGGCTGTTTTTAAGGGCTTTTTTTTTAATTGAATGAACTGAGATTTTTGAATAGAGCTGAAAACAAGTGATGCATTATGCATTATTCTGATTGTGCCCTCTGAATAGTGCTATAAAAATGCCATAGATAAGGGTTAGTACAATCTGAGAATTAAGATACTATATATTTTTTGTTGATTATTCCCAGATGTTTTGTGTGTGTATTGGTTGGGGGGAGTTCCTCTTAAGACAGACCTGAAATTAGGGCTGGGTATATTTCTGTATTTTCACATCATAAAATGCCAAAAATAAAATCTGTGAAATGTCACAGAAATAGTCTTTGAATCAGGTTTATGAACATTGCACCTTTTTTTTTTTAAAGTGCATATATCTGTATGTTTTTCTCACCAGGCATTTTCTGAAACTAGGGGAAAAAAAAATATCCTGTTAGCGATATCAGAGTTTCTGGACTTTTAGGGGAAATAGGACTTCTAAATCCCAAGAAGATAGATAAAGGGTTCTTAGAGGAAGAGGGAGGCATAGATGATAAAGGTAGCTTTTAAGGCATGCTTAAAAAGAAAACCCTTAAACCAAAACAAAACAAAAAAAAAAAGGAAATCTAGTCACTTGATTGTATGGGGTTTTCTGTTTGCATAAGCTGCAAGTGAGCGTAAGTAAACGAACAGCCTGGCCAGCCATTTGGATGTGATAACCACCACTCCACATGGCTGTGGATCTGTGAATTAGCTGAAAGGGGTTACTTTGGGGGGGGGGGGGCATCAGTTACTCTGTGAGTAGTTGAGTAGTTAAGTCCACCGGACTTAAAAAGAAAACAGAGCAAGCCCATTGTTTCATCCATACAATGCATGAGGTTAAAGCACAGAGTTCAGAATAATTTAAAGACACCTGTAAAAAATGGAAATACAGACTTTTTAAAACCAAACCATGTAGGAGCAAGTGGACAGATTTTAAAATGTTTTTAAAAACATTTTTAAAACTGCCTAATGCGTGCCAGTGAGGCCTCTTGGAATTTTGTAGTCAGATAACATGGATTCATGCCAGAACTGACACTCATATTAAGTTGCTAACCACAGTTATTGCAAAACAGTGAGTGACAAAGAGCTTGCCTTTAAGACGTGTATATGAGAAGGCCTGGGCACCGGGTCCACTTTCTAGCTGTGTGACTTGGGGAGAGTAAATGCATATCCAGAAGCCTCAGTTTTCCCATCTATGAAATGGAAACGGCAGTGGTGGAGTCTGAAGATTAAAGGACAAATCACACATCATGCGAGTCAAGCCTCCGTGTTCCACGTGTTAGCAGTCGTTTTCTGTTATAAGTGTTTATCTATCCTTTAAGTCAACGTATCCCTAATAGACAATGAGGCTAGCCATTTTCTTTTTTTTATTCCCACTTTACAGATGAAGAAACTATGGCCTAGAAAAATACTGAACAATACAGCATATTAAATTCTCCTACATTCCCTGCATTTTTTTCCCCTCATTTTAGGAAGTACAGAAAAAAAAGATGAATATGTTACTGAAATAACTCCCAGCAGCAGCAATTACTTCTATAAATTAATTAAAATACAAAATGTTAAGTATGTCAAGGAGTTAGGATATTTGTATTTTTACATTAATTAGGCTCTTGCCACTTTTTACTGGATACGTTGAAGAAGCGGGGTTAATTTATTTTTGCTGGTACCTACTGATAGGAACTCAAGGCGCTGCACAGCCCTAAAATTTTAAATCTTACCTGACTTGGAATTTTTCTTGGCCCCACAAGAAAAATCGGGGTTTAATATTACAGCTATTTCCCGAGCAGGAACCCGAGTCCCCAAGAGGGAGGGCATGGGTGCTGCAGAGTGCAGGAGCCACCTGGGAGCTGGACACACTGTCCTTTATTCCTTTTGTAGTCTAGATATTGGCACCTCCCCCCCTTGTCTTCATCCCAGACAGAAACACAGCCCATAATTATATTCCACAACCATCATATGTAAGAGACAAATATGTTTTTCATTGTGTTATTTTTAGCAACGGCATTTCTAGCCAGGGAAAACACTCTATTAGTTCCAGGGTTTTCCTAGCAACTTCTCCAATTTTTCCATGTCAAACTATTCAGAATCCTTCAGGTTCTACACTCCTGGGAAAAGGCTCTTAGCAGGAGTGTTGGGTCCTTGAGTGGGATTCAGTGTGTGAGCTGTGGGCGGACAGACGATGACAGTGGCTCTGTGAATCAGCCTGTGGGGCTGACTCCAGTTCCCAGCACTGTTTGGGGACATAGGGAAAAGCTCTGGTTGTCTTACCTCAAGGGCAGATCTAGAAGGGTGAAAATAAATATTTATTTCATTCAAAGTTTTAATTCCAAATATGAATCACAAAGCAGCAATTTTAAGGTAGAAAAAAGAGTCACGAAATCAAACAGCAGTAGGGTGCCAAAATTTCAAATAGGTTTGGAATCACTAATGAATTTGTTTTGTTTGTTTGTTTTTTTTGAGATAGTCTCTCACTTTTTCACCCTGGGGGTGAGTGCCATGGGTGACATCATAGCTTACAGCAAACTTGAACTCTTGAGCTCAAGCAATCCTCATGCCTCAGTTTTCCAGATAACTGGGACTACAGGTGCCCACCACAATGCCTGGATAGCTTTTCTTTCTTTCTTTTTTTTTTTTTATTTGAGACAGAGTCTCACTATGTCACCCTCAATACTGTGCCCAAGGGCCATGGCATCACAGTTCACAGCAACCTCAAATTCTTGGGCTTAAGCGAGTCTCTTGGCTCAGCCTCCCAAGTAGCTGGGACTACAGGCACCCACCACAACAACGCCTGGCTATTTTGTTGTTGTTGTTGTTGTTGTAGTTGCCATTGTTGTTTAGCAGGCCTAGGCCGGGTTTTAACCTGCCAGCCACAGTATATGTGGCCAGCACCCTAACCTCTGAGCTACAGGTGCCAAGCTCGCTTTTGTTTTGTAGTAGAGATGGGGGTCTCACTCTTGCTGAGGCTAGTCTCAAACTCCTGCCCTTGAGAGATTTACCTGCTTTGGCCTCCCAGAGTCCTAGAATTATGGGCATGAGCCACCATGCAGGGCCACTAATGAATGTTTTCATACTTTTTTTTTTTAAATTGAGACAGAGTCTCAGTCGCCCTAGGTAGAGTGCTATAGTGTCAGAGCTCACAGTAACCTCAAACTCCTGGGCTAAAGTGATCCTCTTGCCTCAGTCTCCCTAGTAGCTGAAACTATAGGCACACCATGGTGCCCGCCTATAGTTTTTTCCTCTTTTTAGTAGAGATGAGGGTCTTGAACTCTTTGAGCTCCAGTGATCCACCTGCCTCAGCTTCCCGGAGTGCTAGGATTATAGATGTGAGTCACCGCATGGGGTTGTATGCCTTTTTTTTTTTTTTTTTGCACCTACAGACCCTGTTTTAGAAGCCCATTGAAGCTTTTTATTATATTACATTTTATTCTGTGTTCAGAGATTATCTTTGGTCAATAAGTAGTGATTGTGTTGAGTTGAGCGCTTTGCCCTAGTGGGGTTTAGTAAAGTTCTGTGAGATCGGAGAAAAGCTGTACGGTGATTGAAGAATCGGACTGAATAGAGGTAGATTGGAATCCTACCTCTGTCATTCACTAGTAACCAACACAGATTTTCCATAAAGAACATACGTAGGTCTGTTCATATTTCAAATAAAACAGAGCACCTGAATTTTAAAAGCAATTTGATAAAGGTATTAGTGGCCTTTAGGTATTATGTTTTTCTCTTTTAAAAATGTTTTTGGAATTTCTGTGGAAATTATCCCTTCAGAGAGAAATATACTGGGATCTCCTAGTGCAGGAAAGGGAACGAGAAGTTTCTCCCAGACTGGCTGTTTGCAGAGGGGAGCAGAGAGTGCTTTGAAGTGGGAGAGGTGCTGTGTTCATTGCTATTCTTCCATTACACTTCATCAGAAATACAATTTTGAACTTGTTGGCGAGTGGTTTCCGAAATCTCTTTCTCTCGGAGAAAGGCATCCTGAAAAGCAGCATCATCTAAGATGACACCACTTTTCCTCTTCAGATGTGAGGTCTTTGCAGGGAATAGCCAATAGAAAGGGAAGGGTCTTTCCATCCTCGGACAATCAAGCTTTCCCCTTGCTTTGGTTTCAACTTTTTATTAAACAGGTAAAAAACACCATTTACCTGAAGCTAAAATTCCAGAGGGGGACCCAAGCATGGGATCTATTTTTGTGGGGAATTGTAAAGCACACAGCGGGCTTTGGCCATTTCTTATTTCATGGTGGGACTTTCTCGTAAATTGCCCCCAAATCGATAGCCTTCCTGTAAACTTCTCAGCTTTTGCATTTAACCTATAACTGCTGAGGAGAGAAAATATGGAGGGAGAAGGGTTTTTGTTTTCCTTTTTTATGGAGGCCTAAAATCAAGGCAGACAGGATTCTGAGGTTCCTAAATGCGCGCTCTCTTTTGGTTTTATAACCAAAAAACCAAGTCCTTTTGGGTTCATGGTGACGAATGGGTGGCAGCTGAAGGCCTCAGGATCTGTGAGCTGCATGCAAAGACTGGAGTTCAGGACAGTCTTAGGTGGGGGAGGACCTATGAGGGACAAAAGGGAAAGAGACTGGGACCAGCCTATCCTTTTGCTTCTAGACCACAGACTTAATAGCCAACAGGAAGAATTGTCAATTCTCTGGTTATATGAATTACAAATGTAAAATATTACACATTCGGAGCAGGCCTTCTCCAGGGCTCTTCCAGAAAGGAAGGTGCAGCTAATTTTATGGGACACAGGAGTACAGTCAGTCTAAAATCAAGACAGCCAGTGGCACTTGTGGCCTCTTGGAGCCCCAGGTTTCTATACTGTGGTTTAACTTCACACTCCTGTTTGCCATG